AAAATTTTTGAAATTTTCTATAGAAAGAAGAAATTTTCGAACATTTTCTATAGAAAGATGAAGTTTTCGAACATTTTTTATAGAAAGAAGTAATTTTTGACAAATTTTCTATAGAAAGAAGAAAATTTCGAAAATTTTCTATAGAAAGAAAAAATTTTCGAAAATTTTCTATAGAAAGAAAAAATTTTCGAAAATTTTCTATAAAAAGAAGAAATTTTCAAAAATTTTCTATAGAAAGAAGAAAATTTCGATAATTTTCCATAGAAAGTAGAAATTTTTTAAAAATTTGTATAGAAGGAAGAAATTTTCGAACATTTTCTATAGAAAGTAGACATTTTCGAAAAATTTCTATATAAGAAGAAGAAATTTTTGAAAATTTTCTATAGAAAGAAGAAATTTTCGAAGATTTTCCATAGAATCAGAAATTTTCGAAATTTTGTTATAGAAAGATGAAATATTCGAATAATTTCTATAGAAAGGAGAAATTTTCGAAACTTTTCTATAGAAAGAGGAAATTTTCGAAAATTTTCTATAGAAAGAAGAAATTTTCGAAAATTTTCTATAGAAAGAAGAAATTTTCGAAAAATTTCTATATAAACAGAAGAAATTTTCGAAAATTTTCTATAGAAAGAAGAAGTTTTCGAAAACTTTCTATAGAAAGAAGAAATTTTCGAAAAATTTCTATATAAACAGAAGAAATTTTCGAAAATTTTCTATAGAAAGAAGAAGTTTTCGAACATTTTCTACAGAAAGTAGAAATTTTTAAAAAATTTGTATAGAAAGTAGACATTTTCGAAAATTTCCTATCAAAAGAAAGAAGAAAACATTTTCTACAATGAAAAGAACTAAGAGCCCTAATCATTTGGTTCTGAACAGCCTCCCCGAATTGCAGGGCTGTGTATTTGTAATAGTTTCATATTGACGATTCAATTCATGCTAAGTTAGTTATAGATAGTAAGATTATAAACTGATCAAAATAGTTTTATTTAAGAAATAAAACGTTAAATTAAATTTCGAAATAGAGTGTGGAAATACAAAATTTTCAATTTGAGTGAAAAGAGGTTCACGAATTCGAACTATCTATAAAGGAGTTATCATTTTATTAGTTTCATATAAAAATTTTGGCATTTCGTAAACATCATGGAACAAAAATTATTCACAAAGATAAAAGACTATAGGTTTTGTTATTTTGTTATTTAAATGATATATTACGGGTAGGACCTAGGTGCTAGGGGTAAAGTATAGCTCTGCCATATGTTACAATTACATTTAAACGGAATATTTCTATATGAGATTTTCTGGGAATTGCTACTTAATTTATTTTATAAAATTTTCAACATAAATCACTAATTTAGCAACGATGTTCCTTTATTTAAATAAACAAAAACTAATCTATAGGTATCCATAGTAATTTAAGATTTAAAATCTCATTTACAAAATAAGTACTTTTGTCTAGATAAAATCTAGATAAAACATAAAATACTTCAATTCACATTTAAATAAATTTTACAACATTTTCATTAACAAGCACTACTACTATGTATTAACAAGGATTCTGTGATTGAATACCAACACTAATACACTGCTGTAAATAATCATTTTTTTTGTTTTTGTATTTCTAACAACTGTAAAATAAAATCCTAAAGAAAATCGTAGCAACTATCAAATTGATGTTTATCTTATTTTAACAATTCAATGAATCTCTTTAAAATACACACACATACACGCATCCCTCTATACAGCCCCTTTTTTGCTTACTTTTTATATCGTATTGCGTATTCATGGCAAGGATTAATCCGGTTCTTAATACTTTAAGCTTTTACTATAAAATCATGTTTTATTTCGTAAAGGAGAAAATAATTGGGCACACAAATAATTACTCTACTATGTATAAAAATAAAGGACATAAATATATGTATTTGTATGTCTGTATATTTGTTTGAGGCAAAGGATTAAACGATTTTAACCCTCATTTAGTGCAGATGAGTAGTTAGAGTACTATGTATCTAGTAAAATAAATCTTATGCGCATATAAATAAATTAATGGAACGACCTTTTTAATAATTTTGACAATTTGTTATTGTGATTTTTATTAAGGGTTGTGCATAATTGTTTGGGTAATTATTGTAGTTAGAAGAGAAATATAAATTCAATAATTATAAGGAATGAAAAGTAAATTTTCTTTATAAAAGAGAAATATTTTGAAAATATTTCTATGGTATAAGTAATTTTCGAAAATTTTCTATAGGAAAATAAAGTTTTGAAAATTTTCTATGAAAAGAAAAAATTTCGAAATTGTCTGTAAAAAGTATAATTTTTCGAAAATTCTTCATAAAAAGAAAAATTTTCTACTAAAAAGAAAGAAAATTTTAAAAATTTCGGTAAAAAGGAGAAATTTTCTGTAAAAAGAAAAGTTTTCTATATAAAGAAGACATTTTTGCGAAATTTATTAAAAAAAATCTAAAATTTTCTGTAAAAAGAAGAATTTTTCGAAAATTTTCTGTAAAAAGAAGAATTTTTTAAAAATAAAAAGGATAAATTTTCGAAAACTTTTCTATAAAAAGAAGAAATTTTCGAAATGTTTTCTATAAAAAGAAGAAGTTTCGAAAAGTTTTCTATAAAAAGAGAAATGTTCGAAATATTTTATATAAAAGGAAGATATTTTCGAACATTTTCTATTAAAACAAGAAGTTTCGAAAAGTTTTCTATAAAAAGAAAGATTTTCGAAAAGTTTTCAATAAAAAAAAAATAAAAATTAGAAAAGTTTTCTATAAAAATAAAAAATTTTCGAAAAATTTTCTACAAAAAGAAGAAGTTTCGAAAAGTTTTCTATTAAAAGATAAAATTTTCGAAATGTTTTATATAAAAGGAAGACATTTTCGAAAATTCTCTATTAAAAGAAGAAGTTTCGAAAAGTTTTCGAAACATTTTCGAAAATTTTATATAAAAAGAATAAAGTTTTGTTTTTTTTTTTTCTATAAATAGAAGAAGTTTCTATAAATAGTGAAATTTTCGAAAAGTTTTCAATAAAAAAAATAAATTTTCGAAAAGTTTTCTATAGGAAGAAGAAATTTTCGAAATGTTTTCTATAAAAAGAAGAAGTTTTGAAACGTTTTCTATAAAAAGAAGAAGTTTCGAAAAGTTTTCTATAAAAAGATTACATTTTCGAAAAGAAATTTTCGAAAATTTTCTACAAAAAGAAGAAGTTTCGAAAGGTTTTCGAAAATTTTCTATAAAAAGAAGAAAGTTTTGAAAATTTTTCTATAAAAGGAAGAAGTTTCGAAAAGTTTTCTATTAAAAGGTGACATTTTTGAAAAATTTTCTATTAAAAGGTGACATTTCTGAAAAGTTTTCTATTAAAAGAAACATTTTCGAAAAGTTTTCTATAAAAGGAAGACATTTTCGAAAATTTTATATAAAAAGAAGAAGTTTCGAAAAGTGTTCGCAACATTTTCGAAAGTTTTTTATAACAAAAAGAAAGTTTCAAAAAATTTTCTATAAAGAAGAAGTTTCGAAAAGTTATCTATAAAATGAAGAAATTATCGAAAAGTTTTCTATAAAACGAAGAAATTTTCGAAAAGTTTTCTATAAAAAGAGAAAATTTCGAAAAGTTTTCTATTAAAAGAATAATTTTGGGAACCTATTGGAACTATAATCCCAAAATTTTGCACGAAGAACTTTGACATCCATGTGAACACATGTTTAATATAGTGGCGGGGACTTCCCTTATGAAATAAATACTAAAATTCGTATTAGAGCTAGAATCCTTGCGTGGAATCTCCCATATGAAATACTATTTATATTGTTTAGGGTAGCAAAGCACACTGTGTATAGCTAGTTTTATATAAAAATAATATATTTTTTAAAAGTATTCTATAAAAAGATAAATTTCGAAAAGATTTCTATAAAATGAGAAATTTCGAAAATTTAGAAGAACAGTTCAATGCTTATCGTCGTTAATTTCAAAAATAAACGTACAGGTGTCTGGTACTTTAGGGAATAAACGGGTAAAAACTGTATTTTGGTACTTTTTTTGCACCCCATGTATCTTTTAAACCAGTGAACATATAAATGATATTTTTGACTCCTTTATAACTTAACGAAAAAATAAAAATACGAATTTAGTTTCTTTTGGATATTCGAACGTTTAAGGGCAGAAAATTGTACCTATTTTTGGTACTTTTTTGCATAAAACATTGTTTCCTATGTGAATGAATACTTAATGATGGGCTCCTACTATGATATTGCAACTTTTCGGAATAAAATGTTTATTACTTCAATAGAGAGAAAAAAGTACCAAAAGGTGGAAAAAAGGGAAAATTGATTTTATTCAAACTCATTTCTATAAAAGGGAAATTTTTGGTATTTTTTCTTTTTAAATTGTATTTTTTTAATATTCTATAATAATGAGCCTAGAAACAAGAAATTAAGTTTCTTAACTGGTACTTTTTGAGTTTTCTATAATATTGAACTTAGGAACATGAAATTTAGCATGTAGAGCCCGGAGTTAATGAGAATCTATAAAAGGAGACTTTTTTGTACTTTTTTGTCCTTCGACTGGTACTTTTTGTGTTTTCTATTAAATTGAACTTATTGGTACTTTATCATACTTCGACTGGTACTTTCTTGAGTTTTCTATTAAATTGAACCTAAAATCATGAAATTAAGCATGTAGAGCTCGGAGTTCTTTAAACGGTACTTTCTGATTTTTTTATAATATTGATCCTAGAAACATGAAATCTTTAAAAGGGGACTTTTTGATATTGCAGATATACGATCTGGGTGGCTCACTATGTTATTGGACTTTGTGGTACTTATTGGTTTGTAATAAAGTCCATGGTCATTATATATTTCCCAATCAAAATGGAGTATGTATGTAGTTACTTTTTAACAAAAATATATATCTACTATATACCCCTTTCATGATCCTATCAATTCCATAAAATTTCCTAATGGGTTTACATGTGATATGAAAAATATAAATTTCAATTTGTACTTACAATTAACTTTTGTAACATCAAAATCTTTACGTTGCTCCATAGCCGAAGCAGCTGGTGAGGCAAGTAATTTATCTGTGGGCTGAAGTTGTTGTTGCTGCTGCTGCTGTTGTTGTTGTTGCTGTTGAGCTGCAGCAGCTGCTGCTACAGCATTTAAAGCCGATGGTGGTAAACAAGTTATACTACCCATTACTCGTGGTGCATGAGTTTCGGTAGACCTTTGCTGCTGCTGTTGATGTTGTTGTTGCTGTTGTTGCAACTGATGAGGAAGTGAATGATGGTGGTCATCTCTATCAGTTGTTAACTTTGGTGTTGAGCTATTCTGACTAGACGTTGTTGGATTGGCATTGGCTGTTAAATTGTGGTTGGGCGTATGTACCAAATCATGTCGGGGCGATGGTGTGGTATTCAGATTTGCTGATAAATTACTTGATGAAAATCGTGGACTACGTTGTAGTTGTTCATCATTTGTTTGCTGATGCTGCTGCTGCTGTTGATGATGATGTTGTTGATGCTGTTGCTGTAATTGTTGCAATTGTGCCAATTTATCTTGTACACCCTGTAATGAGGGTCTACGACTGTGCTGCAATGACGTATTACTTTGGTGGCTTTCATCCATTGTATTTGTATTGGTATTTGTTGAATTTTGTGCATTTGTATTGCTACTAGTGGGTGAATGGCGTAAGGTGGATGAGGTGGCATTATTGCTAGGCGTGGAAGGCGGTGGTAGTGAGGGTAGTGCTGATGGCGGTGGTGGTGTTAGAGAATGTTCTCTTTTAACCACCACATCTGGGTGCATATTATTATCGGCTGTCGGTGATTTGGCATTTGCTGCGGCAGCCGCAGCTGCTGCATTGGCTACACGTGTTAAAGCTAAAGCTTGACTCTGCAAAAAAATTACAAAAAAAATGAAATAAATAAAATCAATAATAACTAAACAAATTAAATTTAATTTTTCCTTAAATACTATCTAAACTGATTGGTTATTTATTTAACTCAATATTTATGAATGTTTTCCGTTATTAAGCATTTCTATGTTTTTAAGTTCGTTTTTATTAAATACAATTTCTTTCGGTATCTAAATCTTTTATTTTTATTCACTCAAACAATTGGTTTATTTGTTCATCAATCAGTAAAGAAAATAACCCAAATTTTCAATTTATTTATTTTATTATTCGTTTGTGGGTATTATATTGAATTTTATTTGTTTAATTCAAAGATCAATAGTTTGTTTGCAATTGTGTTGCTGCTGTTGTTGTTGTTTATTTGTGTTGTCATTTTTTATAGTATTAGTGTTAAATTGATCAATACCAATGATCATTTGTATATGATCAATGTTTGCTTACTTATACAAATTAATGTGACAAATCAAATTGAAAAGATTTATTTATTAAGACAAATTGACAACACGATTTGGTGAGTGACGGAGAAATAAAATAAATAAATAAATAAGTAGAGAATTTAACGAGTTTAAATGTTGTTTTATTAAATGCTAAATTAACTGGCAGATATTTTGTCAGTGTATTGAAGATCGAAAAAAAAATTAAGAAATGTATCTAGAAAATTCATAGATTGTTTTTTGGAAACCAAATTTGTAATTTATAGATAATTTTTAATAAGAAGAACAACTTTGCATTTATTAAAAGTAGAAAATTACAATTTAGTTTTGTACAAATAATAAATTTTCTATAAAAATAAGACATTTTCCAAAATTCTCTATAAAAAATTTTTGGAAAACTAGAACTGAACTAGAACTGAACTAGAACTGAACTAGAACTGAACTAGATCTGAACTAGAACTGAACTAGAACTAGAACTGAACTAGAACTGAACTAGAACTGAACTAGAACTGAACTAGAACTGAACTAGAAACGAACTAGAACTGAACTAGAACTGAACTAGAAACTGAAACTAGAACTGACTAGAACGGAACTAGACTGAACTAGAACTAGAACTGACTAGAACTGAACTAGAACTGAACTAGAACTGAAACATAAACTGACTAGAACTGAACTAAGAACTGAACTAGAACTGAACTAGAACTGAACTAGAACTGAACTAGAAATGAACTAGAACTGAACTAGAACTTGAACTAGAACTGAACTAGAAACTGAAACTAGAACTGAACTAGAACTGAACTAAGAACTTGAACTAGAACTGAACTAGAACTGACACGAGAACTGAAACTAGAACTGAACTAGACGACTAGAAACTTAATGACTGAACTAGAACTGAACTAAGAACTGAACTAGAACTGAACTAGAACCTGAACTAGAACTGAACTAGAACTGAACTAGAACTGAACTAGAACTGAACTAGAATCTGAACTAGAAACTGAACTAGAACTGAACTAGAACTGAACTAGACTGAACAGAACTGAACTAGAACTGAACTAGAACTGAACTAGAACTGAACTAGACTGAACTAGAACTGAACTAGAACTGAACTAGAACTGAAACTAGAACTGAACTAGAAACTGAACTAGAACTGAACTAGAACTGAACTAGGAACTGAACTAGAACTGAACTAGAACTGAACTAGAACTGAACTAGAACTGAACTAGAACTGAATAGAACTGAACTAGAACTGAACTAGAACTGAACTAGAACTGAACTAGAACTGAACTAGAACTGAACTAGAACTTGAACTAGACTGAAACTAGAACTGAACTAGAACTGAACTAGAACTGAACTAGAACTGAACTAGAACTGACTAGACTGAAACTAGAACTGAACTAGAACTGAACTAGAACTGAACTAGAACTGAACTAGAACTGAACTAGAACTGAACTAGAACTGAACTAGAACTGAACTAGAACTGAACTAGAACTGAACTAGAACTGAACTAGAACTGAACTAGAACTGAACTAGAACTGAACTAGAACTGAACTAGAACTGATCTAGAACTGAACTAGAACTGAACTAGAACTGAACTAGAACTGAACTAGAACTGAACTAGAACTAGAACTGAACTAGAACTGAAATAGAACTGAACTAGAACTGAACTAGAACTGAACTAGAACTGAACTAGAACTGAACTAGAACTGAAATAGAACTGAACTAGAACTGAACTAGAACTGAACTAGAACTGAACTAGAGCTGAACTAGAACTGAACTAGAACTGAACTAGAACTGAACTAGAACTGAACTAGAACTGAACTAGAACTGAACTAGAACTGAACTAGAACTGAACTAGAACTGAACTAGAACTGAACTAGAACTGAACTAGAACTGAACTAGAACTGAACTAGAACTGAACTAGAACTGAACTAGAACTGAACTAGAACTGAACTAGAACTGAACTAGAACTGAACTAGAACTGAACTAGAACTGAACTAGAACTGAACTAGAACTGAACTAGAACTGAACTAGAACTGAACTAGAACTGAACTAGAACTGAACTAGAACTGAACTAGAACTGAACTAGAACTGAACTGGAACTGAACTAGAACTGAACTAGAACTGAACTAGAACTGAACTAGAACTGAACTAGAACTGAACTAGAACTGAACTAGAACTGAACTAGAACTGAACTAGAACTGAACTAGAACTGAACTAGAACTGAACTAGAACTGAACTAGAACTGAACTAGAACTGAACTAGAACTGAACTAGAACTGAACTAGAACTGAACTAGAACTGAACTAGAACTGAACTAGAACTGAACTAGAACTGAACTAGAACTGAACTAGAACTGAACTAGAACTGAACTAGAACTGAACTAGAACTAGAACTGAACTAGAACTGAACTGGAACTAGAACTGAACTAGAACTGAACTAGAACTGAACTAGAACTGAACTAGAACTGAACTAGAACTGAACTAGAAATGAACTAGAACTGAACTAGAAATGAACTAGAACTGGACTAGCATTGAACTTTGTTCGTCTATCTGCCGTATACTAAATTTTATAGGTCTTTAAAGAAATCGATTTTTCTATAGATGAGGAAATAGGGAAATGATTTTTAATCAAAGAGTACCTCTGATAGGTTAGCTGGTGGTATTCTAGTCTGTCTATCGGGAGTTGTTGTTCGATAGTATATTTCTTCGGATTTGATGTAACCTATAAACAACCTCCTTTAATATATACAAACTCCTAATCCGTTTCATATAAATTTTCCTAAGTGTGAAGCCATCCACAAATTAATATAAAATACATACAACACACAAAACATACATTTTTGAAATAAAACAAAGAACTACAAACCAAAAAAAAAAAATTGAAGAAAATAACATCATGATAACAAATCAAGTTTCAATATAATAATTTATTTGAAGACTAAAGACTACCTGTTGCGATGTATTATTATGAGACAAGTAAACGTCAACGTTGGAAGGTAACAATTGATGAATTTAAACCTAATAATAACACAAGCAACAACATGTTGTTGCAGAAGCAGCAACATACAAACAAAAAACTACAAGGGAAACATTCCAATAAGAGAAATTACGAAAATTTCGAAGATGATGAAAAATCACCAGCAAAAAAAACCAAGTGCACAGCATCATCACCATTGACCACAAATAACAACAACCTTAACAAGAACAGAAACAAATGAATATTTTTGGTGGCGCAAAACAGAAGCTAAAGTATGAAGACAATTTGGGATTTTTGCTTGTTTTTCACAATCATCAAAAATGAAAATAAAAAAAAAAAAATATTTAGTATCAGACATTGTTCCTACAAGTGATACAAAATTCTTAAAGATAAACATACAATTCCTTCTTTCTTTTTTTCCTTTTTTGTCTACCAACTTTGCTTAAAATTGTACTAAAGAAGGTCTTAGTGAAGATCAAAATCTAAGTAAAGAAAAAAGTTACTTTCAACATCACCAGCAGCAGCAACAACAGTTGCCCAAAATGATTGGCAGCTTATATCACATGGGGGCTATAGTAACAAAAACAAAAAAAGAGTCTCTTCCATAAGTTATTTGTCAAGTTTTAGTTAAACTAAAGACGAAACCAAACAACACACACTCAGACACACTGACTGGTGATCGAAGAAGAGGCACAAAAAATTAACTCTGTTTTTGGCCACAAAAAAGGACGTGATTTTCAAACTAATGAGGATTATAAAAATTAAATATGTATGAGTATTTTGTAAAATTTTTTTTAACAAAATTTAATTTTGTTTCCAAACCCGAGAGTGTAGTAGACTAAGCTTTTAAAATTTAAATATGATAACAATCATTATATCTGAAAATATTCTGGCAAAATAACACTAATATTAAAGCAAGCAAGTAGCATCCTAAAAAAAACTTGCAAATTTTTTTAAGAACTGATAGTTTTTTTGTATTGACTGTGTTTCATTTTTTTCGCTTTAAGGCATTTAAATTTCCGGTAGGTTCTTTTGTATAAGCGCCGAATTTTTCATTACAAACATTTGCTTACTTTTAGGCGTCTGGCGTATGTAAGCACTTTAGGGATATTACTTAAACTCGGCTGCAGCAAAATTGCCTGCACTTCATAATATGTAATGCTCAATGATGAATGTTAATCAATAGTTTAAGAAAATGAAACAGCAGCAAACTTGCCATATTAAGGACATTTCAAAATTAAAATGAAAAATCATTTAACAGAAGTCTAACCCTGCCTAATATAGGGGCCATTAAACATAGAAATTAGGGCTATAAACATAGTTAGTTAGTTAGTTAGTTAGTTAGTTAGTTAGTTAGTTAGTTAGTTAGTTAGTTAGTTAGTTAGTTAGTTAGTTCGTTAGTTAGTTAGTTAGGTTAGTTAGTTAGTTAGTTAGTAGTTAGTTAGTTAGTTAGTTCGTTAGTTAGTTAGTTAGTTCGTTAGTTAGTTAGTTAGTTAGTAGTTAGTTAGTTAGTTAGTTCGTTCGTTCGTTAGTTAGTTAGTTAGTTCGTTCGTTCGTTCGTTGTTCGTTCGT